CTCTCCCAGCCCCCGCTCGGCATGGAGTCGCTGGCTTTCCCCTGGCGTCCGGGCCCGGCTCCCCCGGCCGCCGCCGCCCTGGCCGACGGGCTCAAGTCGCCCAAGCCGCTGATGAAGAGGCAGGCGGTGAAGCGGCACCACCACAAGCACAACCTGCGGCACCGCTACGAGTTCCTGGGCACCCTGGGCAAGGGCACCTACGGCAAGGTGAAGAAGGCGCGGGAGAGCTCGGGGCGCCTGGTGAGTGCCCTGCTCCGGGGACTGGCCCCTGTCCTTACCAAGCTGAGGGTGCGGGGTTTGGGGGGGCTGGGGGGTGTTTATTGCAGGTATATCAGGCCCTGATTGTAGGGACAATCAATGGTCGTGGACCTGGGAACCCCAACAGCACGGGGCAGCAGGTGATGGTGGCCAATTAATGAGGCGCGCAGCTGGTGCAGGGTGCCTGGAAGACAAATAGCGCCCTGCCTGGGGATGAGGGGTCCCCCTAAAGAAGATGGAACTTAAGTTGGGTTTTGCTTGGAACAGACTCCAGCGGAGCGGACTGGGAAGGGGAAGCGGAAGGCGCCCAAGCCTGGAAGGGGTTTAGTAAATGTGTGTGTTTGAATGAATGGATGGGGTGTCCGTCCAGTTCTCAACTCAGTTCTGTTAGTCTGGCTGCCAGCACAGTATGGAGATCAGCACAGGGGTGGAGGGGGGAGGGTTGGACACTTAAGTCCTTTCTAACCCTGGGAGGGAGTCAAAGTTTCGGTATGATGAGTTGTTGTTCTGGGAAATGTGAAACCAGGCTCTGGTGCAAGGTCCACTGTGCCCCAAGATGCCTCTGGGTTCGGGCCTTTTCAGGAAGGCGTCCTGTGAATTTGCTGTGTACGGGGATAGTGAGAGTAGGGGGATTAATCTGTGGGACCTTGAGCCACTAATTTATCTCTGTACTCTCAGTTTCCCCTTCTGCAAAAGTGGAGAGAACACAGCCTCCCTCCCAAGCTGCTGTGAGTACTAAATGAGAGGCAAAAGTGAATTTAAATTGTTCCTGACACAAAGAACCCACAGTGAGGACGGATACTTACATCTGGGCGGGCCGGCCCTGAAAGGATGGCAAGTTTGCCCAAAGTTAGTTAACAGTGGTCCTCAAGCTGGAGCTTAGTGTGCGTAGGGGTCACCTGGGGTGCTTGTTTGAAATGCTCTCTGGTTCCACACCCAGAGGATTTTATTCTGAAGATTAAAATAATGTGTATTTTAACAAGCCGTTAGAGCAGGTGGTCTAGGGATTGTTTTGCCAAATCCAGTTGGGTGCTGGTTATGAGACAAGTGGAAGCACAGGGTGTGTGTGTGTGTGTGTGTGCGTGCGTGCGTGTGTACACGCGTGCATGCGAGTGTGTGTGGCCATGGTTTGCCCTATCAGCTCTGGCTGCAGTTGCCTCCTCGGATTGTTTGCTTTAGCAGCCAGTAGCTGGTTTGAAATTCAAGAAGTCATTTCATTGGTGAAGGAGAGTGGATGCTGGCAAAAGGGGATGGATTTGTGGCCCCATCAATAGGACCAAGTATGTTTTTCCTGCTAGTGCCTGGCATGGTCCCCTGTTGCCCGCTGCCAGGTTACAGCTATTGGGCAATCATGTACTTCCTGGCTTTCCTTTCCTTTCTCTTTCTATAAAGTGTGAGGGCCTGGTGAGGCTCCAGGCTTCAGACTGCTGGGCCCAGGCTTCGTCAGGGGCTTAGCTGAAATACAGCTGCTGGTGGGGGGCAGTTTGGGTTGGGGGGCCTGAAGGACCCCCAAACTGGGAAACTAAGATTAACTTTGGAGATCCCATCGGACTCTTGACCTAGGTCGCTGCATACAGGAGAGAAGGAGGGAGAAAGGGAGGGAGGGAGAGATCTCATTGATTCTGGAATGATATCAACAAGCTGTCAGTTTTCAAATCTCAGTGTCTGTAGGCAGAGATTCTAGCTCTTGTTACATCAGAATACAGAATTCAGAAGGAACTGCCTCACCTCCTGCCTTCTGTTGTATGCAGGGAGCCAAGATCTGTAGGAATGGGACCTGTTCTGAACCTCCCCGATCCATAGACCACCCTGTGCTTCTGCTGGGCATTTGCTTGGGGTCTCCCTTCTTGGAGAGCAGCTGCCGGCTGTGCAAATGGTTTTTTAGTTCTGGGGAGGAGTCCTCTTCCCCACCCACCCTCATTCCTGTCTCTTTGCCGTTCTCCCAGAAGAGAGACCAGGCTGGTGCCTCAGGATCTTCAGTGGGAGAGAGGGATGTGGGAGCCACCCAAAACCCCCCTCAAAATGAACTAATATTATTGGTTGAGGCTAGAGTCAGAGGAAAGCCTGCCGGGTGACTCCCATCTCAATTTTCTCTCTACTTTTCCCATCCCCAGCCTGCCTGGATGAGGTTATCAGGCGGGATGGGACTGTCCGGAGGGAGGGGCAGGTGGGCAGAACTAATGGCTACTCCAAGAGGGCATCAAAGGAAAAACAAATATTTGCTCTGGATCTTCTAGTCTCCAAGTACATTCCTGGTATCCAAATGACATTTCCTCCTGTGACTCCCAGCTCCTTCACTGACCTGCCTCGTAAAGAGAAACACCTGCTGGTCGAGTCCACTAAAGCCTTTGTGCTAATCTGCATGGAAGTCTTACCTCCAAGGGGTTCCATGAGGAATGTGAGGGGGTCCGAGTGGCTAGGGATCTGGGGCAGGGATGCTTCTCTCATATATTAGAAGGCTTCTTGGGATTTGAAAATGACTGAGATGGTCCTATTCCTTCATTGACAGATGGGGAAGCTGAGGCCCAGAGAGGAGACATGAATTGTATGGCTGGTTAGTTGCATGCCTGTGACACTGGCCCCTGATTTGACACCCCAGGGCCTAGATCACCACTACTGAGTCTCAGTCTGGGAGCTGGCCTGCAATTTGGCCCAGCTGGTCTCAGTGTGCTTTGTCATTCCAACAATCTGCTTCAGTCACCTTTCCAGAGCTTCAGGCAGTGTTGAGGGTTGGAGGAGTCACTGAAAACAACTCCCACCCACACACATTGCCTATGTCGAGGGATCCTGGGTGGGTGAACTACACTACATTCCTGGTTTCTACCTTGTCAGGAAGGCTGCTTAGCTCAGAGTCAGGGTGCAAGGGTTCAAAATCCTGCCTCTGTTGCTTACCAGCTGTACGACCTCTCTGCATCTCAGTTTCCTCATCTAAAAAGTGGGCATTATAATAATGCCTAACTCCTGGTATTCTCATAGGATTAAATAAGTAATATATTGTGAAGTGCTGAGCACAGTAGCTGACACACAGTGTTATCCCAGCAAGGCTACTTTGACTAGACCCTACCCTCTCCTGGAGGCATCCATCCTGGGTCTGTTCTGCCGAGCAAGAAAATGGGTTGTGCTCAGCTTCCTTGAGCCTAACCACTTTGGTCTCTGCTTTGCTCAAAATCCTAGTCTCTCCTTCAGCCTCTGCTCCAGAGAAGGTCTCCCACCTGGCCAGCTCCCAAAGGCCTCTTCTGCTTGATGCTGCCTCCCAGCTCCTCCTGCACCTGCCTGCTCAGCATTAGGGAGGGAGGCTCCAGCTGCAGGCGACTCTTGTCCTTGGGCTCTGGCCAAACCACACAAGAGAGCTAGGCAGGGAAGTGCCTTGCCCAGCAACCTGGCAGAGTGGGCAGGAGGGTGGCAAGGAGGGGTGGACACAGCATGGGGTTTAGGGGAAGCAGCTCAGACTCCCCTCATTCCTGGAGCCCATTCGTCTCCCTGGCTAGTTCTCTGGCAGGCTTGGTGGGCTGGTGAGGCCCCACACCCTAGGCCCATCCCCACTGCCCAGCCCAACCTCTCCTCCATTATCTAAGTGGGTCATCCTCCATCTCCTTGCCCCGCCTCCCAGATGGCAGCTGCTTCGTTAAAGGTCAGAGAGGAGTCAAGGACTTTGGCTCCAACTCCTGACAATAGCTATGACCAGAGATGCCTAGCTTGCACCCTCTTTCCTGGGACCTGGAACCAGTACCTTTAGATCTTGTTTTCCTAAGACCTTTCTGCCATCCTCTCCTGAATCCAGATCATTCCTGATCTGAGTTGGGGGTGGGTAGGGGCAGTGTTTAACCAATTGATCCCCAGCACCCATCTCTCCAGCGTGTTTGTATAAGTGAGATGGGGGGGGGTACTATACAGCTTGGCCCAAGGCAGGGTGTGGGGCATTCCCTTCTCCAGGGGCGGGAGGTAGGGAGCTGCAGGCCGGGCAGGGCATCTGCAAGGATCTTTTGTCTTCTGAGATGGCAGCTTCTCCAGGTAACACCCCTCCCCCTTGGATCTTTCTGCCTTGATGTATCAGGGAACCTTGGAAGAGTCAGCGCACCTTTCTGGACTTCAGTGTCTGCCATTTGCAAAGTGGGGTAGGGAATCGGCCCTGCTGCTTTTTATGCAGGGCCACAGGGGCAGGAAATCACTGGGCTGGTATCGGAAGGAATTTTGCTCAGGCAGGTTAACATAGATATAGCATGGGGCCTCTGAACAAGCTCATTATAACAATCCTTGGCTAGCACCTTCCTGGCGTAGTAGCAGGTGACCCATTTCTGAAGACACTCAGCAGACAATGCTAGCGCTTGGAAGGGAGCTTGGAGATCCTGATGTGTAAATTTGTGAATGGTTCCTTTCTTTCTGGCCTTTGCTCAAACATTTGTCTCTGCCTGGAATGCCCCTGTTGCCCCTCCCTAGCCTACCCTCCTTGGCTCGGTAAACCCCACTCATCCCTCAAGATCTAAAATAAAGTTTTCTCCCAGAAGCTATTTTTCCTGCTCTTCCAGGCAAAGAAACTCCCTCCAGTGCTCCCGGAGCCGCTGGCAGGCAGGGACCTCAACTTTCACACTCATCACACTAGACTGGAGTTGACTTAATTGTCAGTCCGACCACTGGACTGAGGACCTCAGTACAGGAACTGTCCAATTTTTGTCTAAATCCCCAGCACCTAACAGAGCGCCAGGCACATAGTAGGTGTTCAGCAGAAGTTTGGAGAATAAATTGCCTTTCATTTTTCAGATGAAGATATTAAAACCGGCCAGACCAGTTAACCAGACTGTTTAAGTGACTTGTCTGGAGTTGCCTAGTTCCTAGTGGCAAGTGAAGATACCTGGGCTCTTGACACCCACTCCACAGAGCTGGTGTTCACCTTTACAGTAGCATACTGTTGTGCCTGGGTTCCCTGCTCCCTCTGAGTAGGGAGGCCATAAAATATATTATCTAAACTTGGGTACTTTGAAGAGAAAGGGGTCACCATTAGTAACTATACTGGGATAAACCAGGGTTGTCTCGGGGCATGTGATCTCCCTTCCTCTGGGTGACCCACTCAGCAGTTATTACCCTCCTCCTTGGCTCTAGTCAGTATAATTTTATTCTGGAGAATGGTTGCTCAACTACCTTGCAGATGAGAACAAAGGTCCCTCAACATCAGTGCTCGTAACAGAGGTTGACTCTCCACCCATGCCTAGGATGAAAGGCAGAAAATCTTATCTGGGCACAGTCCCATCAGTCAGGGATCAGCCCAGCGACTTAACCAATATCTATTTTGCGACTTGTGTTCACCAGTAAGCTGTTGAGTACTTTTGACTGCAGAGCTCTGTCTAGGCCTGAGCTTTTGCTATATTTAATTTACTTTGATAGGCTAGCCAGCAGGTAGCTAGGAGCCTGTCTCATGGGGCTGGGACAGGTTGAGGAATAGTGACCCACCCCCACCAGGGCACTTCACACATCACTCTTCTTGTCTGTCACCTGCTTAGGGACTGGTGGAGGCCTGTTGACATAACTTGTTTCTTTCCTGGGAAGTGCCAGCCAAACTGTGCTCTCCTAGGACCTAAGGTAGATTATTGGGGGTCCTTGACCTAGCCCCCTGAGGCCAGAGCGTAAGTTTACAGGAGGAATGAACTGTTCATTGAGGATTAATAATTCTGATTTAGAGTCATAGGCTTCCAAGTTGGTGAGAAATGGATCTCAAGGTTTGACTTGTGTACCCTCTCTATCCACGAAGGGACTCTTTCTGGTACTGCTCAGACCCCTTTATTTTGGGGGGGCCCCCTCTTTTTAGGACTTGTCTTTTTTAGAGCTCTGCTTCCTAAGCCTCAGATGATTTCTCTCATTGTATTTGTTTGTAGATACACAATTATACATCCAAGATGTGCTTAGTTTTGGCGTATGTACGCATCCTAGGCTCTCAAATAGTTCTGTCTCATTGTCTAGTTGTGTGATTTATGTAGGATTTGTTACTATCTGTTAATACAGTTTTTATTGCCCTTTATCTGAAGAGCTCATAGTACTTCATCCATTGTCTGATTGTTATTGAAATGAAGAAATTCAGAGAGAAAAGAGCCAGCCCATAAAATCTTGCCTTGGGGGAGAAGTCGGGGGTCTAGAGAGAGGTGTCTGGGACTGAAGGAGGATCGCAGCCCGTGTCCCCATTCCCACCCCGTCCAGTTCTAGACCAGGGGCTTTTCTGCTCAGTTCCCCCCTGGTTGGAGCAGGGCCGGGGGCGTGAGGGGGGCACCTGCAGCTGCGGCGTGGGCCTCAGCGCATCCTGGCGGGAGGCTCCATGGTGATGGCCCTCCCGCTGCCATTGTCCTCCCTGCGGCGGGAAGGAGGCAGCGCCGGGAGGAAGGGGCGGAGGGCACCGGCCCTGGCCCGTTGCCGGGGCGACCGGCCCTGGGCACTGTGGCCTCGCCTCTGATGGATTACGCTGGCTGTTCCGCATTCCTGTCACTGTCCCTGCGAGCAGGAAGCTATTGTCTGCCTCCGGAGCCCCGTGAAAGGGGGATTAGGGGCCCCTCCCCTCCAGAAGTGGTCTCCTTTTTCTGTCTCCCTTTGAACCTGAGGGAGCAGCCCCTCCTGGGAAACTGAACGAGGAGCCGTTTGCCTCAGCCTGAGCCCTTGGATTTTTCATGACTTGCCCGTCTCCAAGAAGGGGAAGTCTCGTATTTACCATCTGTGGCCCTGCACAACACTTGACAGGAACTGACCAGCCCTGTGACCGCCACGCCTGCCCAGCACCTGGTGCCAGCAAGGCAGCCTCTGAGGCCTGGCACTCGCTGGCTCATCTCAGGACCAGGGCAGGAAAGCACCTCGGCCATCTCCGTTCAGCCTGTTGGTGTCACTAAAAAGAAAACCGAGGCTCTGAGAGGGGGTGGGGACTACCCATGGGGACAGTGACAGCCTGGAGGAGAACCCAGGTCTCCCAGCTCCCCAGGCGTGTCTTCTGCACACACACACACACACCTTGCACTGCTGTGAGTCTCCCCTTTCTGTCACCTGGCCCTGAGTGGGACGGAGCAGACAAAGGGACGGAGACCCCCTCCGTCTCCAGAGCGTTGCTTAAAGGGCATCCTGGCAGCTCTTTCTTCTTTGCCTCTTGCCCCGCTCCACCCTCGCTGCACCCCCCACAGGAACCAGCTGGGGCAACGGTTAGTCCTTTTATGGCATCTTCACCTTTACAGACAAGATAGCAAAGGCCAGAGGACTTAGTTGCTGGAAGAGGGACATTCCTTTCCTAGACTGAAGAGACTGGGGTTTTGTCTTTTTCACACTTTTTTTTTTTTGTGGTAAAATATATATAACATAAGATTCACCATGTGAAGCATTTTAAGTGTACAATTCAGTGACATTCCGTACAGTTACAATGTTGTGCAAACATCACCACTGGCATTTCTCAAGTCATTTCCTCACCCCAGGCAGAAGCTGTCTGTACCCATTAAACATAACTGCTCAGCCCGCCCCCCCCCCTCCTCTCCCCTGGTAACTCTGTTCTACTTTCTGTCTATGCATTTTCCTATTCCGGTCACCTCGTATAAGTAGACTTGTACAGCACTGGGCCTTGTGTGTCTGGCTTATGTCACTTAACGTAATGTTGTCAAGGTTCATCCAAGTCTGTGCCAGTTAGTGAGAGAATGACTTTGAGCAGGTCATTTAACCTGCCTGGGTACCAGTTTCCTCACATGTAAATGGGGATTGTAGATACTTTTTGGGCCCACCTCCCAGGGCTGTTGTGAGGGCCAATTAATTTACTAATGCAACAGATGGTTAAGCAGTGCCTACTGTGTGACGGGCACTATGCTTGGCATCAGGGTAAATTCATCCTCACGGTGTAGCGCGGTAAATTCGCTTTGTCAGTCATAAAGCATCAGCCTCCAAGTGGTTGTTACCTTCCTTGTTCATCTGGGGACTCTGAATAAGGTCATTGGTCCTTACACCTCCCTGCCACACAGACTGCACCTAACCCAAGTGAACACCTTCTCCAGAGGAGGCGCTCTTCGGCCTCTCTGCCCGCTTTCCTGGTGAAGGTCGGAGTGGCTTCCTTGGGTGCGCTCTGTGGCCTTTGCCGCAGCTGCAGGCAGACCACAGTCAGGACTTTGAGGGTGTCCTCTGGGACACCTGTACCTGCCAGACCCTTCTCTTCACCTCCAACATTCTCTGTTCCCAGGTGGCCATCAAGTCAATCCGGAAAGACAAGATCAGAGATGAGCAGGACCTGATGCACATTCGGCGAGAGATTGAGATCATGTCGTCGCTCAACCACCCCCACATCATTGTTATCCACGAAGGTACAGAGGCGGGACCTTTGAATCTGGGAGTGTGTGTGCTCGCCCGCGTGTGTGTCTGTGTGTGTGTGTAGGAGCAGTCAGAACAGATGATGCGGAGAAATAAAAGAGGCACAGGCTTTGGAGTTGGACAAAAGCTGGGTTTGAAATTCAGCTATATGACATGGGCTGCTACTCAGTATAGTCTCTGGGTGGGCCTCAGTTCCTCATTTGTAAAGTGGGATAATCCCACCTACGTCACAGGGTAGTTGCAAAGGTCAAACTAAATGTCACCAAGTGCTCAGCTCATGGGAGGAACCCAGTGGATTGCGGGCTTTTTGTTGTTATTGTTAGGTTTCCGCACATGAACACTTCCTCCCCCCACCCCCCCAACCCAATGAAACCCTCAGCAGTACCAGGGAGGCTGAAACATACAAACCTGCCCCTGGCTCAGGTGCAGGGGTGCTAAGAGCCAGGCCTCCTAGGGTCTGCCCGGTACCCTGAATCATTCCTGCCCTGGGGCTGGCTCCCCCCTCTCCTTATCTTTCTCAGACTCCTCTTGCTCTGACATCGGTGCTGGTTTCCACTCCAGCTGCCCTGTTTCCTGTGACCTAGACAACATAGTGAGCAAGAGTGGGGGATGAGGGAAAGGGGGGGAGCTCCCTCCCACACACACTTGTCTGCTTCCAGCCTTTACACAACATCGATAGATGGGAAACAAGGCTTAGCAGCAGAGGGAGGGAAGGGAGCCTATGGCTTTGCCCTCTCTGAATATTCCTGGTGGGAAGGAAGAGGGATGTCTTCTCTCTTGGGTTCTAGTCATAGGAAGACCAAGGGCAGAGCCACTGACATGGCCCTATGTCCTGAGCTTGTCCCACGAGGAACCCAGACAAGTAGCTGAGAAAGCTAATTGTATCTCTGTGTACTCCCCCAGGGAAGAGTGGGCACGGCAGAGCATTGGTTAAGCCAGGCTGAGCTTGGTGATTGGGGTGTGTGTGTGTGTGTGTGTGTGTACACACTCATGCATGTGCGCATGTTCATGCCTCACACCCACACCCACACCCACACCCAGCCAGGTCTAGAAACTGAGCTTTGAAGCTCAGGATGTGGCTTCTCCTTCACTTTCAGATTCAGTAGATGTAGGGCCATCGCACTTACTGTGTATATGGCAGGGCTCCCCCAGATCCATCCCCATCCTGCCAGTCTTTAGGAAGTATGGACTAGGGGGGTGGGGGGCTGACCTAGCTGCTGTCCAGAATGTGCTGGCTCTTGACCCCCAATTTCATGGTACAAAGTCTGCAGGAATACAGGAAACCACAGGGGTAGAGGTTCAGCTGGGCACACTCCAGGAGGCTGGACCACCACACATCAGGGCCACTCACTCATGTTCCCCTGGGAAAAAGTTCAGTCCTCCTGGCCATGGATCCTAGTGCCTGGGAGCTAGGACTCCTCCTGGGAGAAGCCGCCTTCCTCAGCTCCTTCTCACGGGCTAGACAACAGTAGCTCTGGGCTGGCAGAGCAAGCCAAACTCCTAGGACCTGTTTGACACAAAGATGCAATGTCAGGACCATGTGTGTTCTGACACAGTCCAGCTGAAGGGCCAGTTGGGTGACTCAATCGTTCCTACCTTCCCAGGGGGCTGGAGCCAGAACAAGACCTGAGGGGGCAAGAGGGCCCTTTCTACACATGTCAATGAGCCAGCTGGGGCAGGCTGACTGCCAGGAGCCCAGCCAGTCAGTCAGTTACCAAATATCTGTTGATTGCCTCTGGGGACAGGGCCTTGGAAGCACCCTGGGTGGGAATCCAGAGGGGTTGGAGGAGATGACTACCTCAGCTCTCCCCTGTACTTTATAGGGTACAAACCACTTGTGTATACTTTTCCTCCTCTTCTGGTCCTCAAGGCAGACATTTTATGGGCATTATTACATATGTTATATATATGAGGACGCTGGGAACGAGTATAACAGTTGGGAGCAGTTATTGCGTGCGTGCTTATGTCGGCCCCTCCACCAGCTTGCTCAGCCAGCCCCAGAGCTTTCGCTGGCTTTTATCTAGCTCTCACCTCAGCCCCAAGAGTTGCCATTATTATCCCCCTCTTCAAATGGGGAAACTGAGGCACGCTGGTTGAATAACTTGCCAATGTCACCCAGCTAGTCAGTGATGGGGCCAGGATTCAAACTCCAAACCTGTATTCTTACTGATGGATCTGGAAGAGATTTGCCCTGGATCACAAAGCAAAAAAGTACCAAATTTCAGACAGCCTTTCCACTCATCCAGTGATGTCTCTGCCCGCTGGGGAACTTGCAGGGTAGTTTTAAGAATCCTCAAAAGCCAGAACTTCCTAGGAGAGGATGGGTGAGCCAGCCAGTTTCTTGGCCTTAAGTAGTTGCTACTGGAAGATACTGAGAGCTTCAGAGGGCCTTCTGTCCTTCTTTGCTACCCTCCTGCCCCATCAGCAGACATCCCTGGAAGGAGGTCCTGGAGGGAAGGGTCTGGTCCAGGGTGAGGGAGAGGCCGGTGGCCCCCAGGGGAGCAGTGACTCTGGAGGGGCCTGATGTCCCCCCTCGTTCTGCCCCAGTGTTTGAGAACAGCAGCAAGATTGTGATCGTCATGGAGTACGCCAGCCGGGGCGACCTGTATGACTACATCAGCGAGCGGCAGCGGCTCAGCGAGCGCGAGGCCCGCCACTTCTTCCGGCAGATCGTCTCCGCTGTGCACTACTGCCACCAGGTGAGCCCCTACCTCCAGCCCTGTTCTGAGGGGTGGTCCCTGGCCTCCGGGCCAGTTTAGGCCAGAGGCATTCCGTGACCTGTCCAGGATCACACAGTGAGACAAAGCAGAGGCAAGACTCGATTCTGGACTCCCAGCCTAGGGAATGCTGGTGTTTCTGGCTTTGAGTCTCTTGGCCTAGGGTAGAAGGGCCTGTGATTTCTTGTGCTTTGTACCAATCAAGATGGGTATTCCCAGCCTACCTATGCTTCCCCACCTGCCCCCTTTGTGTTTGCCACACTTTCCAGACAACGGCCTCATGCTCCCCCCTCGGCGGTGACCTTCCCCTGACCCTCTGCCCTCCCTCTTTCAGAATGGGGTTGTCCACCGGGATCTCAAGCTGGAGAACATCCTCCTAGATGCCAATGGAAATATCAAGGTGAGCCCACTTTCTGTTTCCAGCAGCTCTCCTACTCTTCCCAGCCTTTCTGCACTCTAAGCATCCACAGCCAAGCATCTCTAAGCCCTTAAGGGAGTTCCAGGAGTCAAGCAAGCTCCGACTTATATGTTGGTTCCCACTTCGTTTTATGGATAGAAAACCGAGGCCTCAGAAAAGGGGGTGACTTGCACAAGGTCCTATGACTAACAAGAGGCTGAGCATGGGCTAGAACCAAGGTCTTCTGACTCCTCAACCAGTGCTCTTGACATCACAAGACCGACAGGAGTCTAGGTCTAGGATCGGTTTTTGCTTACAACCTTGGGACTGGCAGGGAGGTGACCGTGGCCTGAGTTTTCCTTGCCTGCGTGCATGTACACACATGCATGTACACACACATGCACACTTTAATCTGCTGTAATTAGGTAGCCCTTTGGCACCTTTCCCCAAAGCCATGCATTCCAGCGCCAGCCTCTTGCAGCTTCCGATTCCCGTGCCTAAGCAGTTACGTTTGATATGAGATAAACTCAGATCGCAGAGCTGGAAGGGGGAGATGGCGAGGCGGCCCCTACACATACCTGAGAGGGCATTGACTCTGCACCCAGACTTCCTCGGAATCTTCTTGAACCCAGGACATAGTCTCTTCCCCAGTGGCCTCTGACCCCTGCTTTGAGACGCCCTGGCACTGACTTCATCTCCCTTTTCCCCTTTCCCAGCCAATTCCCAGAGAAGGTGGGGCTTGCTTTGATGCTATGGTGTTGGGGGAGGGGGGCAGACCCAATAAACCCATATAACCTGGATGGTGATGAACTCTCCCATCTACACAAATCACCTGCCTCATTATGCGCTTCAACTGGTAACTGCTTGATAAGAGGCCAATAAAACCATAAATGAAGGAGCCTGAGTTTCATAAACAGGCCTCCACCCTAGGCACACATGACCCTCTGCTGGGGTAAAGAGGTCAGGAGCAGAGGGACACTGGCCTCGGCCTCTGTCTGAGGACAGCTGGGGAAAAGGTCTCTCTGGGAAACAAGGAGGTGGGCTGGGGGCCTCTCAAGGCCTCAGTATTAGATGGCTCCGGGAGCCCCGTGAGAAGATTCCCTCTCCTGGCCGATACGACCGTGAGCTTTGCTCTGCTCTCACCATTGCTTCTTAGCCATACTGGGCTGACCCCATGTTCCTCCCCACAGACAGAGACTAACCCTTTGCTAGGAAAGGCAGCCCAGCCTCGCATGGTAAACCAGAGCTGGGGTCGCATGCTTCTGAGGGTCATACACTGGCATGAGATGCTGACTCTCCCCCTCCATCTGGTTCACCTTCCCGCTGAGTCCCAGGCATGGATCACACCTGTGCTGGGAGCTGCAGGAGGGATGGGGACAGAAGGAGGCCAGCATGGGGAACATGTTGATATGGCACTATGAAGGGACAGAACTGATAGGCAGTGGCTACAGCAAGCCATTGGAAACTGTAGGGCTTCATGGGAAAAGGAGATGTCAGGGCAATGGAGGGCTTCCTAGGGGAGGTGGGCTTGCTGGGTCAGGAGGATGTGCGTAGACTGGAGAGCACATGCCTGGGGTGGGGTCGAGCATGAGCAGAGGAGCCCAGGGAACAGTGAGGACCCTGGAGCCCTCCCCCCAACCTCTACCTCACTGCTTATTGACACAACTTCTATGGGGCTCTTTCTTCCTGGGCCTGAGCTGTGTTGACAGCGCCCGGTGTGGGCTGGGGGCCATGGCACCCTTTCCTCCTGTTGGGGCCCAGGTTTCCCCAGGGTCTGATAGGGGCAGGCTGAAAGCTACAGAACAGCCCAGGCCTTGGCATGACCTCTGCCGTGTTTGTCCCACTCCTGCAGATTGCTGACTTTGGCCTCTCCAACCTCTACCACCAAGGCAAGTTCCTGCAAACGTTCTGCGGGAGCCCCCTCTACGCCTCGCCAGAGATCGTCAACGGGAAGCCCTACACGGGCCCGGAGGTGAGTGTCCGCCCTCCACACCAGCCTGCCTCAGCCATTGCCTGACCCTTGAGCTCCTGAGAGTAGGTGGGCTGTTTTGTAGTTGTTTCCTTTCTCAGAGCACAAAATTCAGCACCCCTGCCCCACCTCCCAAAGTAGTGACTTGCCAGGTCTCTAGCCAGGAGCAACACAACTGGAAGGAGAACTTAAATCCGTTGGCCCTCAGTCTAGTCCTGTGCCCCGTTCCTTCCTGGTTCCCACCACCTTCCCTAGCACACAGCCAGCCACCCCTTCCTGTCCTGGAAGGGCTGGCCTCGCCAACTGCTTTTGTGTTTGTGGCTGCCCCTGCCAAAGAGAGGTGATGGACAACACCTCTCCCCATGAGCCTCAATCCCTCCTGCAGTGTCACTCTTTTGCCCCTGGTTACTAGAGGGAGGTGGCCATCAGGTACACTAACCTCTGAGTTCCCCAGCGTGTACCCCTTTCTTCTGTAGTGTGCAGGCGAGGCTGGAAGCCCTCCAGCATCCTTGCTGACTGCCCCCTTCTCTCTCAGGTGGACAGCTGGTCCCTGGGTGTCCTCCTGTACATCCTGGTGCATGGCACCATGCCCTTCGACGGGCAGGACCATAAGACACTGGTGAAACAGATCAGCGAAGGGGCCTATAGGGAGCCGCCTAAACCCTCAGGTGAGTGAGAGGTATGGGTGCTCTCATCCAGGCCTTGGATGTTCTAAGCTAATCCGTGGCGCTAGAGTGACAAGGACAGCCCAGTGCAGATGAGAGCGCCCTCCACCCACCTCCTGCTGTTATCTCTCTGCCTCCAGCGTCTGTGACCTCCGAAAAAGGAGATACCTCTTCCTTCCCTTATGGGCATGCTTTGTTATACTTGGGAAGTGCTTCCTAAGGTCTAGCTTAGAGCCTCGTGGCTACAGTTGTCTCGCTTTCTACTTCCACCCTCGTTCTTAGACATTTTTTGCCCTTTCACCTACAGTGTAGGTCAGAAGGACGCAAGAACCTTGGTCTACCCTTGAGCACAGTCCATACCCTCGGAGGGTTGCACTTGTGGGGAGAACAAGGACACACTCACATGCAAGGCTGATGGAGGGGACAGAGTCCTGAGGGGCACAGACCAAAGAGGAGACTGGCAGAGTCCGGCCGGGAAAGCGGGAGGCTGGGAGGTGGCCCGGCGGGGGGCGTGGAGCCCTGGGTGAGAGTGGAATAGCTGACGGAGGAGTGGTGTCTTGGCACAGATGGGGGTAAGCCAGCGAGAGGGGACTGTGGGTGCCCGTTCTCATGGCTGCCAGTCTGAAGCCCCCGTTCTTTGTCTTCCAGACGCCTGTGGCCTGATCCGGTGGCTGTTAATGGTGAACCCCACCCGCCGGGCCACCCTGGAGGATGTCACCAGTCACTGGTGGGTCAACTGGGGCTACGCCACCCATGTGGGGCAGCAGGAGGCTGCGCACGAGGGCGGGCACCCTGGCAGTGACTCTGGCCGGGCCTCGGTGGCTGAGTGGCTGCGGCGGTCCTCCCGGCCCCTCCTGGGGAGCGGGGCCAAGGCCTGCAGCTTCTTCAAGCAGCACGCACCGGGCGGAGGGGGCGGCGGCGCCCCCGGCCTGGAGCGCCAGCATTCGCTCAAGAAGTCCCGCAAGGAGAATGACATGGCCCAGTCCCTCCAGGGCGACCCAGCTTCCGGCACCTCCCCTCGCCCTGGCAAAGGCGACCTCAAGCTACCAAAGGGCATTCTCAAGAAGAAGGTGTCTGCCTCCTCGGAGTGGGCAGGGGAGGACTCTGGGCTCAGCCCGGCCCCCGTGAACCCGGGGCCGGCCGCGGCCCTGCCCCCCAGGAAGGGCATCCTCAAGAAGTCTCGGCAGCGGGAGTCCGGCTACTACTCCTCTCCTGAACCCAGTGACTCTGGGGAGCTCTTGGATACCGGGGACGTGTTTATGAGTGGGGACTCCGGGGAGCAGAAGCCGCCCCAGGCCTCAGGGCTCCTCCATCGCAAGGGCATCCTCAAACACAACGGCAGGTTCTCCCGCACAGCCCTGCAGCTCACAGCGCCCACTACCTTCGGCTCCCTGGATGAACTGGCCTCACCTCGCCCTCCGCCCCAGGCCAGCCGCCCCTCAGGAGCTGTGAGTGAGGAGAGCATCCTGTCCTCTGAGTCCTTTGACCAGCTGGACTTGCCCGACTGGCTCCCCGATCCCCTGCTGCGGGGCTGTGTGTCTGTGGACAACCTCATGGGGCTTGAGGAGCCCCACTCTGAGGGCCCTGGATGCAGGGGCCTGAGGCGCTGGAGGCAAGAGCCCCTGGGGGAAAGTTGCTTTTCCCTCACGGACTGCCAGGAGGTGACGGAGGCCTACCGGCAGGCCCTGGGGATCTGCTCCAAGCTCAGCTGAGGGTGGGGGCACTGCCCCCCTGGACAGGCTCTAAGATGCACCTGGCAACACCCTGAGGGGAGACACCTTCTCCCCTGCCTCCTGGGACCAGCATCCCAGCCCAGAAGGCTGAGATGGTTTGCCATTTAGCCCTGAGGAGGGCTGGATATGGGGAAAATGGACAATGAAACGCACTGAGGGTTCAATGTCCTCAGCCCTGATGAACCAAGAAGAAAGTAGAGGGGAAAGGGTAGAGAAGTAGAGGGGAAGGCCCTCTGCTTGGACTCGTGGCCAAGTCCAGGTTTTCCTGTTCATGTACACAGGGTAGGAGCACAGAAATCTGGAAAGAGCACTCTTATCAGTACCCATCTCCTTGGCTGCAATGAGTAGCTCTGTGCATGGTGCCTTCTGCCAAGGTAGGGATGGACACTTCACATACACATTCCCATCCCTTCCAGGCACTAAAACTGGAATATGGAAATTAATGTGCCTGGGACATCCTAGGACAGTCTCCCAGAGTGTGCCCTTCCTTATTTCTCCCAGCAGTAAGAGAACACCGCCTCCATTTCCTCAAAGGTTCTCTCCCTTTTCCTGTCCTCCAAACCTGGCCCTAGCCTCCTGGAGTTGCTGCTATGAATCTAAAAGACTTGAAAAGGCTCAGGCTGCTATTGGACTTCATCTCAAGGGGCCCAGATTCCTCTGGACCCCACCTTGAACCTCAAAGGCTCTGTGAACTTTTCCAGCCTCTAAGCTGCTCCTGCTACTGAGAATGGACGCATCTATTTCTCTGGGGTTTCAGGACCCTATAGAATGTCCTATTTATGTTTTCAGCAATGTGTTCTTAAAACGAATTTTGCTGTTTTCTATAATGTGAATACTATGTTCTGGAAAGTCCACTATTCATCTAACTTTTGTGTACAGAGAAATATTTTTGCAATGATTCTCTCCTGATGATGGGAAGGGGGACCCTTTTATAAATCTGCGTGTTCCGTTGCACTGTCCAGAGGGGTTCTCTGGCTCCCTCATCAATGCCCTGATTCTGTCTACCTGATGGTCCCTCTTCCCTTCTCTGTCCAGAAAAAACACCACTCTATTAAAAACCAGAACTGTGATTGAAAATAGCCTGTGTTGTCCTGTTTGAGGAGGTGGGGTGCTGATCTTTGAGCCTTCTCTTAACACACTCCAGCTGAGAAATAGCCTGCTTAATAAAAACAAACCAACAACAAACACGCAGCTCTTAGCTCCAAAAAATTCCTCCATATACCTCCATTAGCAGTGCTGCCCTGTTAAAAACACCAGTGGGAGAGCCCTGGGCTGAAAGCCCCAATTTGCTCTTCCTATCTTTGGCGCTAAAGGGAGAGCTGGGCTTGGCCAATTGTACAGCCCTGCCCCCAGCCTTCCCATCATCTTCCACCCGTCCCCCATTCAGTTCTGTCTCCTGCTGCTTGAAGACCCCCCTTCCCACCTTTATTCTCTCTCTCCAAAGAAATCCCCTTTGCTCGGTGTGGGCCGGCTGTTGGCTGTTCCTCGCCCCGCCCCCGCTGCCTGACCCCTGGTGAAGCCAAGAATGCTTGGAATGCCCCCCTGCTCAACCCCCAGCAGAGCGTTCCCAGAGCTCTCCTGCTCCTTTGAGAAACTCCAGGGCTCCGAGGACTGGGATGAAAGGGAGAGTACAGACAAAGTGCAGGCAAGCAGCTGGCAGGCTCCAGCTTCAAGCAGGCTCCCTCCCTATGCCCTACCCCCTTCTGGTGTTCACAGGCCCCAAAACATCCCCAGTCTCGGCCAGCTCCAGCTCCCTGCTCCACAGCACACCTGTTCTGGGGTGGAGCATCGGGACCATCCCTCCCCCTCCCTGCAAAGTCCCTGGGTCTGGGGAATAAGAGGTGTCCAGGCAACCATGGAGTCAAGATGCTAGAGCAAACAAGAAGTTGCTCAGGCTACATCTGGACTATTCCAGGTCCTACTGAGGGCTGGAGCTCTGGGCTAAACTCTGGGTGAACACCAGGAAAATATAAGGGAGGCTTTTTACACTCGAGAAGTGTAGAGTTCAGTTGCAGAGTTGGCTGTGCCCCTTTATGCATTCAACTCAGGAATCCAGCCCTATTCTATGCTAAGCTCTGTGGAAGACAGGTAATTGCTGTGTCTCTGGTGCAACATATAAGATCTTAGCCTCAAGGAGCCTACAGACTGGGAAGCAAGGTAACGTGCATAAAAATAAGTAAAATTTGGATTTCTGGTCAAGATGGTGGTGTTGGTAAATGCAGTACTCACCTCCTTCCACAGCCACATCAAAATTACAACTAAACTACAGAACAACCATCTTTCAGAACTGCCTGAAATCTGGCTGAATGGAAGTCCTACAACCAGGAAATTAAAGTAGAAGCCACATTGAGACTGGTAGGAGGGGCGGAGAACAGAATGGGCTGGTCCCACACCCACATGTGGTAGATAAAAATTGGGAGGGATATCTCAGCTTCAGAGTTCCCCCCTGAGGAGCAAGACGTCCCAGCCCCACACCGGGCCTCCCAGCCCAGGTTCCAGTGGCAGGAAGAGAAGTCACCATTACTTCTAGCTGGAAAAACCAGCAGAGATTGTGTGTGAGGGAGATGGAGGGCTCCTGGAGTCCCAGGCAGTTCTTCTTAAAGGTCTTGCACATGGACTTGCTCCAACTCACTCCCTTGGAGCTCCAACACTGGAGCAGCAGCTCAAAAGGCACCAGTAACATACAGGGAGGAACTGAATTGTCTGGCATCAGGGCGAGAGCTGGAGAGGAACAGCTTTCTGCAAGACAGAAGTGCTGGCAGAAGCCATTGTCCCTTTTCTGAGACCCCTGTGCCCCCCAGAGAGCTGGCAGATGGGCACCATATCCGAGTCCCCATCAACCTGGCCCACACTGTTTACCCTGCCCTGGTGATTTCTTGAGACCCTGCCCCACCCAACTTGGGTGCCCACCCAAACTTTTTCCAGTGGCTTTTCCATACAAATGTCCTGTCTTGGCTTATGCTTCAGACTTCTCTGAAATCTCTCCAACAAGCAGCATCTGGCTTCAGTGTGCCCTATACCTCTCACTAAGTGGCCCCAGGCCTGGCACTAGCTGTAGCCGGCCTTGGTTCACAGCTTGGCTTCACCTGGGCACCTCCAGCCCAGCACAAGAAGCAACCTTCTGCAGATCACTTTGTAGCTCATACCAGGCAGCCCTAGGCAGAACACAGGCAGCAACTGACCTTGGCCTGCACCTCCCAGGGGGCCCAAGAGCCAGTGCACCTGGTGGACAGCTTCAGAGCATGTCAAAGCATCACCCAAGCACCTCCACAAGCAACACACTCAAGGGGCAGGCTCCATGGGCACCAGAGCCCTGCTGAAGTAAGTCTTGCTCTCTGGGGTGGGCCCCTGCACAGCTGATTCTTGTCGGAGGTTGATGGTCAGTGGTCGCGGCCAGCCTCTGCAGCCGATTGGCCTGGAGTAAATCCCTCCCACTGATGTGCCATCAGTAATCAAAGCTCAACTACAATAGGAGGGTATATACAGCTCACATAGGGTGGGGAGGGACACACCTGGCTTGCCCAGGGAGGCTGCACCACTGGAACCTACAGGACACCTATTACATTAAGCCACTCTACCAAGCCTGGGAGACATAGCAGCTTTATTTAATACATAGAAACAAACACAGGGAGGCAGCCAAAATGAGGAGAAAAGAAATGTCCCAAATGAAAGAGCAAAACTCCAGAAAAAGAACTAAACCAAATGGAGACAAGCAACCAACTAGATGCAGAGTTCAAAGCACTGGTCATAAGGATGCTCAGTGAACTTAGTGAGAACCTCAACAGCATAGAAAAGGACATGGAGGCCATAAAAAAGAACCAACCGGAAACGAAGGAGACACTAACTGAAGACTAATTTACAGGGAATCAACGTTAGAGTAGATAAAGCCGAAAATGAAATCAGTGATTTGGAACGTAAGGAACCAAAAAGCACCCAATCAGAACATCAGGGAAAAAGAGAATCCAAAAAAATGAGGACAGTGTAAGGAGCCCCTGGGACAACTTCAAGCATACCGATATTTGCATCATGGGGGTGCTGGAAAGAGAAGAGAGAAAGCAAGAAATTAAAAACCTATTTAAACAATAATGACAAAATTTTTCTAACTTGGTGAAGGAAATAGACACACAAGTGCAGAGAGTCCCAAATAAGATGAACCCAAAGAGGCCCACACCAAGACACATCATAATTAAAATGCCAAAGGTTAAAGGCAGAGGTAATCTTAAAAGCAGCAAGAGAAAAGCAATCAGTTACCTAAAAGGGAACTTCCATAACACTGTCAGCTGATTTTTCAACAGAAACTTTGCAGGCCAGAAGGGAGTGGCAAGAAATATTCAAAGTGATGAAAAGTAAGGACCTACAACCAAGATTACTCTCCCTAGCAAGGCTATCATTTAGAATGGAAGGGCAGATAAAGTTTCCCAGACAAGAAAAAGCTAAAAGAGTTCACCACCACCAAACCAGTATTATATGAAATGTTAAAGTGTCTTCTTGAAGAAGAAGAAAAAAAGATCAAAAATATAAATAACAAAATGGTAATAAATACATATCTATCAACAATTGAATCTAAGAAACAAAATAAAAAAATAAGCAGAACAGAAACAGACTTATAGATACAGAGAACATTTTGACAGTTGCCAGATGGGAGGGGTGTTGGGAGGCTGGGTGAAAAAGGTGAAGGGATTGAGAAGTACAGATTGGTAGTTACAGAGTAGTCATGGGGATGTAAAGTGCAGCATAGGGAATAGAGTCAATAATATCCTAATAACTATGCATGCTGTTAGATGGGTGTGAGGTTTATCAGCATAATCACTTAGTAAGTTGTATAATGTGTAATCACTGGGGTGTACACCTGAAACTAATATAACATTGTATGTCAACTGTCCTTGAAAAATAAAAATTGATTTAAAAAAATAAGTAAAATTTGCCCGGCTGGGCGTGGCTCAGCAGTTAAGCGTCGACCTAGGATCCAGGCGATCAGGGTTCAATTCCTGGTCAGGGCACATGCCCAGGTTGCGGGCTGCAGCCGATCAGTGACTCTCTCATCATTGATGTTTCTAGCTCTCTCTCTCTCCCTCTCCTTTCCTCTGTCTGAAATCAATAAAGATATATTTAAAAAAAAAAATAAGTAAAATTCAACAGAGAAATTTTTTGTCAGTTCAGAGAATGTGGAAGGGGAGTTTGAACAATGAAAAAGAAGAATCATAGCTTAGGAGATAATATTAGGGCTACCATTTATTAAGTGCTTGTGTGTCAAGCACTGTATTGTGTTATTTCATTTGATATAATTTTTATCATTCTCATGTTTCAGAAGAAGAAATTAAGACTCAAAAACATTAAATAACTTGCCTAGCTAGCAAGTGGGAAAACCAGACCTCAAATCCAGGTCTGTGGGATGCCAAATCTTAATGGGGTGAGGTGGTGGCTCATTTTATCTGGATTGGGTGGGAGACTTGAGAGCAAGAATATAAATGAGTGGAACTGCAAATATTTATTGAGCATCTATTACATGCCAGGCTCTTTTCCAGGCACGAGGAATATAGCAGTTCCTCCTACAAAAATGTCTTCCCCTTATTTCTACAGGCCCCCAAGGGAACTGGGAAAGAAGAGGGTGAGTGGGAGCTAGGGGAAGCTCAAGTGGGCAGAGGGGCTTAGCAGGGAGGGGAGAAGGGAAGCCACATAAAGGAAATGGGGGGGGGGAGGCCACAGCCTCTGCTGCCTCATGCCATCAGCACTATCTCAGCAGGAGGGAGCTGGCATTTCAGTGAAGGCAAAGGAACTCAAAGATCCTGAGATAGCTGCACTCCTAGTGACATATTTGCTTAACCCCTTCTGAACCAGGGGCTGGGGAGGGGGCGCACAGGCAGAGGGGGTGAGGCGGAGAAAGCCTGCTGGGGAAGGAGAATCTGGATGGATGGAGCCTATCTATTACCCCAGCCCTAAAGAGACCTACACTTGGGCTGCGGATCCCACGCTGCACGGCCCTTCCCCTCACCTGCCGCGATGCTTCATACCAAAAACATTCCAGAAGTAGGCTCGAGAGATGACGCCGGCCCCGGG